GAAGGGAATAAGGCAACAGCTCACCAGCCCAGAACGCCGTGAATCATCATCATGTATGCTCATTGACCCTTTTCGAGAGGTGCTCGATGCTTCTGCTCATCAAGCCATTCGCAAAAGTCTTCATGACATTCGTCCCTCGCAATGTTTAGTACTGCATCATCCGGGGTGTTGAGATACAGTGTAAGGAAACGGATGGGAACTTGATGACAGGCGATGTTCTTGTCGGGCAACTTTCTGGAGGCGTGGGTTTCGGATGGTATGATCATATAGATGGAGCAACGAAACCCTTTCCTTGTGCCTGAGCTCTCAAAAGACCTCGTGTGATAACCAGCCCTGCCATGACGCTATACATATGGTGCACGAAAGCTGCCGTGCCGTCTGACGTACAGTATGCAATATATGGAGTGCGTATTTCGATCGTTGTCCTGTAGGTCGGAGACATGGACGTCATTGATCTGACAAAGACTGGCCAATGTATCCTCAGTTGGCAGGTGCTAGTCCTTTTGGAGACGAAACATAGCTCCTAGCAGGCAGCACGATTATTCCTTTCATGGTTTCGAGGTAACTGTAGGAGAGTCTGGCGTGCTACTCGCGCGAGTCAAGGTTCTTTGTTGCGTTTATAGCAACAACAAGGGTTGGTCAGGTGCGCTAGCCAATCAACGTAACTGAAGGAGCTACCTTTATTCGCAAGTCGATTTGAGCGGTATTTCCCATTTTGCCGTTAGCCGCGATAGCCTTGACCAATCTTGAATGTAGACGTCCAGGCTGTCGTGTAAATGTGACTGAGGAAGCAAACCTTGGAAGTCTGGACACCCGATTTACGCAAGAGACATGATTCCGCATGGCACTTGGAGGAGAACGTAGCGTATTCCAGCAGGCCCCTGTTCATCGCATCCCTCAAGTCATGTTGGGTAACATGAGTAGAGACGGTCAACCCTCGGAGCCATGGCTTCCATATACCCGAGACCCTGTTGTTTCATGCAGCCAGGTACATGGCAGTCAGGATACGATGAGGTTGTTTGTCTCCGGACCTGATGGCGTTTCCCGCTACACATCAGCCCTATGTCATGCATGGCTAGGTGAAGGGCCAGTTACGGGCGGAGGGACGCGAGCCCGCTGAGCCTCCACGTGTTGTTTCAGCCATCAGTCGTCTCCTCGGTGTGGGAAGTGTGCACGTGCAGAGTCGTAAGAGCCGCAAACGCAAGGGTGACAGCCTTCGTGGGTCGAGGTCATGGCGTCGTTGCTGCCTGGGTGAGCTATTCTGGAGTTACACGACCCGACATTTCATCTCCCTGCATCTCCGTGTGCTCGTCTCCTGTCTTTCGGGATTGCGATGTGACCACAGTTGTCGTTAGCGTGGGTATAAGTCGCGTAGTATTCAATTGAAGCCAGGGCCCGGTCGTGCCTCTTTATTGCTGGGGATGAGCCAGCAGGACGAGCTATCGTTTCGTGGCACTGCGGGTTGGAGGACCTGTGACCAGATGCTCGGATCTTTGAAGGCTAGTGGTGGGTATCGTTGATGGGGCCGCGGATGGGGGCGATGGATGGGTCGAGGGCTGCTCACATGGCGACGCGTTTGGGATGAGGCTGGCTGGCTTGGTTCTGAGCGGAATTAAGCCCGACGACGCGGGTCGATAGCGGGGCAGCACATGGCATCGCGCCAGGCTACGGCCAACTCCGACGCTTACCCACGGCCTGCACGCGATAGCTGGGGAACAGTCACTTGTACATAGCTGTCGTTGCAAAATCCTTCATACCACAGTGTATACGTATTCCCAATTCTTCATCCGGCCATGACTGCGCAAACCGCCGAAGGGCTCACGCCCGAGCAGCTCGCTTTCTTCAATGAGAACGGCTACCTACTGATACCGGATGCTCTGTCGCAAGAAACGGTCAAGCAGTTGGTGGAAGACACGAATAAGATGCTCAACGACTTCTCACTCGACGACCATCCCATGACCAAGTTCTCAACTGGTGGTGACGACGGCGCCGATCACGTTGGAGACAGCTACTTCTTAGAATCCGGCGATAAGGTGCGGTTCTTCTTTGAAGAGGGTACGTAGCGCGTTCGGAAACTCAAAACAATACACTGACATCTGAGCAGACGCCTTCGACAAGTCTGGCTCGCTGACAAAACCCAAACACCGCGCCATCAACAAGATCGGGCACTACCTCCACGAGCTTTCACCCTCCTTCCGCAGCATGTCCCTGTCGGCCCGCAATGCCGCCATCGCTTCCTCCCTCGGCTTCCGCGACCCTCGTGTCCTGCAATCCATGGTCATCTGCAAACAGCCAGAGATAGGCGGCGCAGTGCCACCACACCAAGATAGCACCTTTTTGTACACGGATCCGCCAAGCGCGGTTGGATGGTGGTATGCGCTCGAGGATGCGACACAGGAGAACGGATGTCTGAGCTTCGCTGCTGGGAGTCATAAGCGTGCTGCCATTGAGAAGAGGTTTGTAAGAACAGGCAACGGCACGGGCTTCATCGACAACGAGGGCGCCAGATTTCCAAAAAGCTTGAAGCAGGAAACGAACGGCGAGAAGGAGTACGAGATGGTCGAGAAGGAGGAAAGATACGACATGGGTGAGGTCAAGGCTGGGACTCTAGTGCTCATCCATGGTAACATACTCCACAAGTCGGAAAAGAATACGAGCAGCAAGAGCCGCAACATCTACACGTTCCACGTCATTGAGGGCGAGGAGAAGTACGACGAGAGGAACTGGTTGCAGCCACCAGAACAAGGGTTTTCGAGATTGTCCAAGGAGGTAACAGCAGCGAACGGGACGAATACGAACAACAGGCTCGCGAGGGACTGGTAACGACCATGTAGAATTATAGGTAGATTGATCAAGATTTGCTCTGGACGCATAATCCGATCCCGCCGAGTACAAAGGCCATGCCTATCCAGGTGTCTGTTTGGTGTTAGCCCATATCCCTCGTACATACACGATTAGACAACGTACCTCGACTGATGACCTTCTTCTCTGCCCACCACTCTCCCAACACGGTGAATAAGAACGCAAGAGAGTTCGTAATTGGCACCGTGAGACTCAATTCCGCCTTGCCTATCAATATGAAGAACCACACACTGCCGGTGACGTTCAGCAATAGCGGTATCGCATACGCTGGCCTGCTCAAGACGCCAATCACGGCGTAGAGTACGCCCAAGACTTTCTTCTTCAGCCAGGAGTTGTTTGGATCGGTGAGGGCGGGGCGTTGGGGCGGCGTGTAGTTCCTGGCGAATACAAATTAGCTCTGGACGCGTTCTGGAAAGGACCAGAAAATGCAGAATATGGTACATGACGGAGCTTGAGGCTTACATGGCAGCTTTGCGCATGAAGGGTGTTGTAAGCCCCCAGCATGCGCCGACCAGAAGGAAGCCCATGATCCAACGGAAGACTCCTGGCTCCGGCTCATTGGCCATGGGCGCGTCGGGATCCATGACACTGGTGTAGGGTGCGAAATCAGGCAAGAGAATTGCAACAGCAAACACGACAATAGGAGCGTCGATCTCGTCGGTGCTGTGCTGGTACAGTCGTCACTCCAGAGACTCGCGAGCTGCCCATGTCCGGGGCTGACCCACAGCTGTTCGTACAACGCGCTAACCGCCCGTGCGCGCCTGGGCAAGCCTCAACACCATGCTGCCATCGTGTACGCGTACTTTCTGGCATCACCTCCACCATCAGATTTGTGGCAACCGACGCCGGCCAGTCACTCAAAAAGCGCAATCTATTTCGAAATAGGATGACGAGCCTCTGCATTGGCCACATACCCAGAATCAAACCACACACATGAGACTGAAGACAATGCCGTCACAATTTGGTGAGAACAAAAGCGAGACCTGGCGGTCTTGTCGCACATCGAAACACTACCATCTCGATCCTGCGATACAGTTTCAAATTGTTCTAAACCTCGTCAAGTTGGAAGGTCCACCCATACTGAGTCCTTGCGGCTCCCCCAACGTGCACGCCCCGGAGTGCACATCAGATTGACCGTGCTGCAGATCTCACGTTGTTACGCTTACCTGCCTTTGATCCACAGCTCTGGTCCCTGCAATAGGTACATCCTGGCCGATCGGAAATCCCCGTTCCTGCATCTGTTTTTGGCCATCGATCCACTTCTCAGAATCTGCAGACCTAATTCGAAATCGACGAATCGAAACTGTCTGCGGCATCTGTCTTTGCCGGATACCAGGCTTTTGGTAACTGAACTGGCGAGACTGTCTTGTCGCATTGAAAATTTCGTAGTCCACGTGGTCTGCTCAACAATCTAAGCTGTGGCCCTAATGTAGTTGCTCAGGCGCCCCTCCGACTTCTACCTTTGAAACAACCCTCAGGTCGCTACCTCTCACTCATATGCAGGTCGAGCTTCGGTATACACAAAGACACTACAACAAAGAACGTCATCTACAACCCGATTGTCGTATTACGGGTACCTGCGGCATGGGCAACGTACCTAGGGAGAATACCCAACGGCTGGTATGTGGCTGCATGGGCACGCACCTACCATCATTACGACATGTTCAATTACCCTAGTCGCGGGCTCGAGAGGTTGTGAGGCACGGGCGGTGCGAACGCCTCAAAGCTACCTGAAACCAAAGGGTTGGGGCTTGGTCCCCCCATGCCAACCCCGGGTCAACCCAATTCGACCTACTACGCTAAGTATAGCTGGAATGTACACCGAGTAGGAAATGGCTGGTAAGGTATTTTGCCATATTTGGATGCAAAATTAAGTCTCTCTAGTCTAGGTTTGTCTAGCATGTTTGTTACGGTGCATCATTGGCACGTTACAGAAGTAGTTCGTGCAGGCCTGTAACCACCACAGCGTCTCCATCAGTCAGGTACAAGTACCGTGTTACTTATCGCCTTTACTCGCCACCAGTTCTGCTACATCCTTCAACGTCACTCGCTCGCCTATCCATTGTCGGCCAACATAACCAAATACGCTGCAAACCTACTTCCTTTCATCGCTATAACATCAACACTCCACCGACACTATGCCAATACGGTCGACCGGCGACAAAGAGGTCGAAGCAGTCGACCTGGACCGCTTATTCGAACAATATGTCGAGACAGATTTACTCAATCATTTCAATGACCGCACGCCTAAGCAATCCACTTCAGATAACACGACGCATCATTTCGAATCGTCTTTGTCAAATGGAAGCGAATGCTTTGGTCCTGAGCCTATACTCGATCGGGAAACACAGGCTGCTTGGCACAAGGCTCTCGAAAAGTACGCACAAAACGCAACCGCGTTTCGATCTGATGATCCTGCCTCCTCTTTCTATGTTACATCATCTTCCGGCATTGATTCTCGTAGCGACTCCGAGTTGTTAAGCTTCGAAGATCTCTTTGAGCTGGAGAGAAATCACTCGAGGTCCACCTCTCAGCCTCCTACAACATCTCGACCCCACCCTTCTGGACGATCTGTCAAAAAGACTCTTTCCTCTCACGGTCGACCGAAGTATCGCGGCATTACCAAGTCTACGAAGAGACCACATCCTTCAGTGTCGGCCAAGATGATGCAATCATCTCATTTCCAATCGACCATCGCGAATGCGTGGACTCGCAAGACGGACAGCCCGACAGAATCTTCCGCGAGAGCCTCGTCACATGGTATCGCTTCGCCCCCGCTTTCTTCCAATCTGGATCAGCAAGAGCGCAACAATGGCGGTGTTGCCCATAATTACCACCAGGCTTACACTAATGACTATTCGAGCCTGCCCAACGACAGATCGAACTATACGAACTACCAATTGACTCCATCTGCATCGCCAGCAATGGGAAATTCCAGCAACTCCGACGGCGGCTTCAACGCTAACATGGGACTCGCCTATTGCTCTTCTAGCACGTCAAGTGCGGCTCTCTCAGCCTTGCAGACCCCGCCTTCCTCTCTCCACTTACCCGTGACAACATGGGGCTCTGACACCTCGCCAGCTTTGGACCTTAGTTTCTCAGCCTCGTGCGACACTAGCAACAGCCTTGAGACAGCAGGTTGGTGGAATGAGAATGACCCCACCGTTCAGCCGCCATACTCTACCAGCTTTGGTCAAAGCAATCTGCGATCTACAAGCCAGAATGTGAGACTAGAAGGACTAGGAATCTCTTACGACTCAGCCGCATTCGATTTCGGCGCTATGAACGATAGCTATCCGGCCCCCAGAGCCTCAGCCTCGTTCGATATGGCTAGCTATGGTGCCATGTACAACAGACCATCACACCATTACGCGCAACCTCAAGTGTCGTCCACCAGTCAACCAGTCTCGCGCTCTCCCTCACCACGCGTCGAACCCCGCTTCCATCGTTCCAAGTCATCGAGCCATCATCGCTCTAGCCAATCATCAAGACGCAAGTCTAACCATTCTTCCCAGCAGTCCTCACGGCAGACGAGCGTAAATAGTGGCGGTGTTGGCTTCGTCAACTTCACGCCAGATGACAGCCGCAAAATCCTCACTGGTGTTGCACCCAGCGGTTCTAGCAAGACAAAGGCACGACGAGAGAAGGAAGCCGCCGATAAGCGCAGGAAGCTTAGTCGAGCGGCTATGAAGGCTGTTATAGAGGCCGGTGGTGATATCGACAGTCTGAGGAGGTTGGAGAGGGAGGGCCTGCTGGTCATGGAAGGGTGATTGGCAGTGTGCCTACCGACTTTCGGAGTTTTGTTCATGTCGAGACTTTTTTTTCTACGCTCGCTTTATACAGGGCCAATGTTTTACATATACGATTTTAGATGGGGTATTATGTGTTCACTGCACAATGAGTAATGTATGATTGACTATCTTTACAATTCTGTTCGGCGTGCGCGATCTGTGTGCGCTCCGTGAGTGCTGTTGCTAGAACACTTCTGGCAAGTGACTACATGTTACAGCGTAATGATTGCTGCAGCTGCTCGTTGACGACTCGGCGGGTACAACCCATCAGGACGCATAGATCTGATGCTTGAGCGGCATGATACGCTCATGTCTTTTACTTCTGAGTATTTGTGAATGCCTCGAACTTCGTCTATCCTCAGCCGGCGGCCTCCACCTCCATACGTCCAAGCACGGCTTCTACGACACCTTTGGCGCCAATGCCCCTCTCCACACCACCTAGACTTTGCTCTTCTGCCTCAAGCTCAACCGCGCCGTCATATACCTTGACGATCATGTCCTCATCCACCTTCGCGCCACATGCTACTAATCCCCTGATCAATGTGCTGACCCTGGTAATCTCCCGCATAACAGCTGGCTCGATCTCGTCGTTCTGGCTGGAGTACAGCGTCTCGGTCACACTTTCGTCTAGCCTGTTGATACCCACCTCTTTCGGGTCCGCATTCGTCGCGATGTGTTTGCTGATGAAGATGTATCCGTTGACGCCGAGTACAATGTCGATCTCGCCTGCCGCGGTGTTCAGCGTGAACACCTGCCGCCTACTCCTCACTACACCACCCTTGCGACTCAGTATGCCACCGCCTGCGCCACTTAGACTGGTAAACAAGCCATTCCGCAGTTTTCCGTATTTGAGCGATCGCGTGTGGAGGGATGCTGTGCCGTCTTGGTGCAGACTCTGCACTTCAGCGACGAGTAAATCGCCTTCTTGAAAGAATGTCCGGATGTTCAGTTCGTCTACTGTCGTTCTGCGTCGCAACACTCCACCGGGCAAGTTTATACTTGACAAAGGCAGGTTTGCGTGCATTGGCGCTGCGATGTCCACATTCCACTTCTTCGTTCCCACTGTCATTATGCGTCCTACGACCAAGTCGCCAATCTCGGGTTGGTATCGAGCGCGCAGCGGTTGTACGGAAAGCAGTTTGTTGGTCTTGTGCAGGGTACCGGCGACGGTCGATATTATCGTGGTGGAGGATGGAGGGAGGCTTGGGATGTAAGTGCCGTGGCCGCGCATCCATTGAGGGTCTGAGGTTATGTGTTCGCCGGGCGTTACTATCGATTTTGAGCCGGAAGTCGCGAAGTCATCGTCTTCCATTTCCACATCAGAGTCGTCGTATTCGTCTTTCGCATCGCGCCGTGGTGGGAGAGGTGCGCTGGGTGGGAGGATGGAGATTGGCATGGTGAAGATGCGCCTGTGTGGACGGCGCTTTCTGTTTCGAGAGTGTGAAGTATATGATCGATCGATCCGATTACCGCCAATCGCTTTAAGCTAGTCGAGGCTGCGTTCGTGTGATATCGCGGGGGTGTTGGTGATGTTGTCTACTGCGAAGAGCTTCCGAAATTTTGGCGGGGATTGAAGCTTCCCCGATGATCCCTGCCGAGCTTTCCGGATGAGGCCTAGTCTTGACGCGTCTACCTCATGGCAGTCGCGACAGGTCCGACCCGACGTCATCCATCAACAGTCGAATCTCGCTATCACTCCCTCTCCATCACTGCTACATCGCTGCTCTGAACGGGAGTCTCGGATACAAGGACTATGGCACCGACAACACCATCCCCTGTCGTGTCCAGCTTCAACGAGCCCTTCATATCAGCGCTGGATGCTGCGGCGCCGGCCAATGCGACCGATGACCCAAGCTACTATGCCCGCTATCCGCGGTCCCTGATCACCACCTCTAATCTCGACACTTTCATGACTGGAACTGGATCTGCAATCTACGACTCATTAGTGCCTCTCCTCGAGTCTACTAGCCGCGAGCTTATCCTGGTCACTTGCTTCTGGGCTAGATCGACAACTCTTGAAACACTGAACGAGGTTCTGAGAAGACTCTCCGACAAGGCTGTCAGGAGAGGGACGGACAAGATCAGAGTTCGACTTTGCTTTTCCTCCAGCTCGGTCTTTCAGAAGCTATTTCACAAGCAGGCCACTTCAGGACAGACGTATCAGCCTTCAGCATGGGTGAAGAAGCTGGGCTTGCCTGACCCGTCTGAGCTCAATGGACTGGACCTCGAGATCAAGTCTATATTCATATTACCATTCAGTGTCATGCATCCCAAATTCATCATCGTCGATCGGAAGACGGCAGTGTTACCAAGTTGCAACATCAGCTGGGAAGAATGGTTCGAGGGTGCCGTCACCCTTACTGGACCTGTTGTCGAACAGTTCCTCAAATTCTATCGTACTTTCTGGGAGCGGCGAGAGGATGTTCCGACTAGTCTCGACGTTCCCGACAGCGCTGCGGTAAAGCTTCACGGTGCGCTGAAATCGTCTGCACTACTGTCGGCTCGCAGTATACATACCGTCTTCCTTCCCAGCCCACACCGTCGTAATCCGCGCTTTAGTTTCGTTGGAGCTCAAGACACCCTTCGAGCTCCGCCAACGCCTCTAAACGTTTTCATACTCACACTCTTCGCGAAGGCTGAGAGAAGCATCCGTATTCAGACGCCAAATGTCACTGCGCCACCTGTCCTGTCCGCTATACTCAGAGCGCTTGCACGCGGCATCGACGTACGCATTCTGACCTCGGAACGTCTCATGATACTCGAGCAGTTGGTCACAGCAGGAACCACAACATCACGCTGCATCAAGAAGCTCATCAAACGCTATCAACAGCTGACCCACGACGGTGGCAATTCAAACGATGAGGAAGCAGCTATGGCGACTCCCAAGCCCGGTCGCCTGCATGTATCATACTTCGAGCCGATCGGTGGGCCTAAGAAGAGAGGCAACGAGTCCGGAGAGCCTCAACAGTCGCATCTCAAGATGACCATCGTTGACGAGGAAGTTTTAGTCTTAGGCTCTGGAAACCTGGACCGGGCGAGCTGGTTCACAAGTCAAGAGCTAGGTGTTGCCTTTTTCGACAAAGAAGTGGTCAGAAAGGTTGGAAGTGCGGTTGATGAAGGTACACAGGGAAGAAGCAAAGTGGTGTTCGACAGTGAGGGCTAGCACGTATCGTGTAAGACAGGCGCTACCTAGTGCATTGGACTTAATGTACAGCAGTGGCATCAACGCACTGTTCTGTCAACCATGAACTTCTTCCCATGATCCGAGTTGGCTGTGGAAACATTGAACCAACTGTGAAATTCCCCTCACGAGCTCCGAGCTTACGAAGTCGACACACTCTTTCCAAGACTACCGCTTCAGACCACCGTCCCCAAACAACCTCCTCATCGTCCTTCTCGTCCATACGGTCAATCTAATCCTTGATTTCGACGAGATCCGCAAAGCATGTCGCAATCTTCTCAGCGCACCCGTTGGGACAGGCTTTGGTGTTGGGACCGGCATCTCCATCGGTTGAATAGTCTCCGCATCTGAGACCACGGACCTTGACTGTAAGCTCGCAGGTGCTGAGATATGTACGACAGCCTTCGAAGTGCTCTTCGATTTTTTCCTTGTCCATGCACCAGTGAATCCTACCGATCTTGTTCCTGTGGTTGTGGTAGTCATCTAGATTCCCAGCGAGTATAATCTCGACTGTGAGCTCCTTCAGGGCAGGAAACTCTGACTGCCAGACGACGGCCGGATTCTCGCTCCCTCTAAGCTTCTTCAGTGTTGGTTGACGCAGTCTGGAGCTCTTTTCGGTGTCGAGGAAGACATCCCATGAGTACGGGAATTTGGCGTCTTCAATCATCCTTTTCCAACCTAATCGGCCATCCACGAAGATCTCGATGGTCAAGTTCCGAACCTGTTCTGTGAGAGACGTGGGCGGTCGTGGGTATTGTAGGCCAGCGCTCGGCCAACAGAGAAGGAATTGGTTTTCTCCCCACGAAATCTTGGCTAGTCTATTCATCTCTTTACTGGTGAGGAGCAAAGCCTCATAGCTAGCCATTTTTGCACGGATGGGATGAGTTATGGCCGTGAGAGTGCCATTAATGTGGAGTCGGTGGCCAAGGGTCGCCAGTTTCAGCTCCTCTGGTAAACTATTCCAAGATGCAGGAGCAGATGAGGCCTCATCGCACATGCTCGCTAAACTCGTTAGCGTGCGAGATGGAGGGTGATGAAATAGGAAGACTTACTATCCTTGAAAGACACTGCGTTGGTTTCTTTGTCGGCGTTCATGCTGTGGTGTTCTGCTTGGTGGTGGATAAGAGTAGTTGTTCGGAGAGACTGGGGAAGACTGAGGGAGCAAATTCAGCACATATTTATCTGAATGGCCACAGTTGAGCCCGGTACGGTGAAGTCAAGGCAAGCAGACACGTTGCTGAAAGGCGTCAGATTGACTTGGGGTCTACCCATGTATTCTACGCAGTTGTTCATTGCGTACGAGTGAAACGAAGTCAACCCTGCGGATGCTGAACGAGCTTTCACATTGGACGTCCGTCTAGGCTTTGGGTGAATATACACAGTGCACAAAGGGCGTCCCCATCCCTCTACTATATATAAATCTCTTTCCCTCAAACGTAGTTATTCCACCTTGTGAGCCGAAGAGCGGCCCACCAGCAATCTTAACGAATCGGATTTCACGAAATGGCAACCGAGGTGTCGCAAACCACAATTGTCCAGTCGAGACTCCTGGACCTATCTAACGAGCTATTGATGCAAATTCTTGGATATTGTCTTGTATTTGACAAACCCATCACCGCTATGATACACACCGTGTACATGGCTCGTCTCATTCGACTTGCTAGCATCAACAAACGGCTATACGACCTAGCTATGGATGTCTACTGGAAGGAGAACGAATTTGTCATCGGGCTATCGAAAACGAACACGCTACTCTTCAATCCTCGTAGAGCGATGTACAGCTTCAAACATCCAAGTCCGCCAGTCGCCTCACTGGTGCGTAATTTGACTGTAGATCTGCGATTTCAGCCGGAGCTCTACAACGGCGACCCTCGGTACCTTCAAGATATCTTCAAGCTAGATGGCGACTGGCTGTTCCTAGTCCCCAATAGATGGAAGCCATCCCCGATCCCGTTTACTTTGGGTAAACCCACGGCTGATGACTCCAGTATCCCCGAGGGTACCCCTGCCTCGGATCCCGTGCACTGGCAGCAGTACTTCCACCCCCAGTTGCTCAAGATCATCGTCACTCTTGAAAATGATGGTAAAGACGAGACTTGCTTCATGGCTAGGGGTCGTTATTCATCAGGGCGTTGGTGTGGACTTACACTCAAACAGCGCCGCAAAGATGCTAAAAAGGGGCTCCGGGGTACATCCTGCAACGTCGATGCGAAAAAGATTGTGGTTGAGGTCCGAGGTATGGAATGCTCGGGTGGCGACGGATCGGGTATTTGTGGTGGTTCTTGCGCGAAAATTATCCAAGAGACGTTGCAGCGCATGCTCCGGAAATAGTAGAGTTGTCACTTAGTATGGTTAGTACGTAGTATGGTTGGAGAGCGCGAAGTGCACGAATCTTGGCTTGCTCTTTTACCAATTGCATTACCATTGCGGTCTGCACTTCGTTTGCTGCAAGATGTATTTCGTTACTGTATTTGTTTTACCCAAATCGCTATCCTACCATTGGTATTAGCTCCTAGCCAACGCCAATCATTACCTACCTATGTCTGATGTGCTTAGGTACCAAGCACCATTTTGGGTGCTGTTTCTCGCGATGCTGTTTGATCGCTTGACCAACTATGTGCAACGTGGTCTCAAGTTTTTTTTTAATATCTAGAGCTTGGAGTGAATTTGGGTTCAGCTAGTCCTTCGCCAGCAGTAGCGGGGGTGTGAAGGGGGCTGGCGATTAGATAATCGGGTGATGACGTCACACATCGTCACCTTTCCGAGGTCCCCGTCAGGCATCGCCGGAACCGCAGTCATCTAACTCAATACAGGTGTCGTGCACGCTTATCATGAATCAATCCAATTTCAGTAGTCTACACTACATTTCACGCTTGTTATTTAGTGAAGGTAATATCCCTGGTCACAAACCCTTCGACGCGACGCGTCAATTCCCATTGCGCTTCATCCTCCTCAGGATTTCTTCGCCCCACAAAGCCCGATCGATCAAACGTGACTACGCCGTCAAACGGCAGATGCACGGGTTCTCCTCGGCGCGCTAAATAGCACTCGTCGAAAGACATGGGCCCCCGTATCACACAGGTATTCTTAGCAATTTCGAGGATTGCTGCATCCTCACCTGACAAATATCTCACTTTGAGATGAACTAGTCCCGTGAAGCCAGCACGATCTTCTCCGGAAAATGTTAGAAGTAATTGCCAGTCAAATTCGCATAGACGAGTCTGGAAAGTGATATGACGTAGCTGAGGCCGTATACTCATGGGAGGCTTAGCCAATATCGAGTTTGGAAATACTAGAGAGTTGGTGAACTGCATGGTGAACTTGTTCTCTTGATAGAATACAGCTTTGGCCATCTCAGCGATGTCCGGCGTCATTCTGAGGTACGGAAACAGCTCCCTTCGTATTACGGTGTTGATGTTTGCTGGCCATAGTGGAGAGGGATACAGGAGGTTATAACGAAGTATCTCGAGTTTCAGTTCAGTCGGTAACTTGCTCCAGCCCCTTGCGAATCCTGGTGTTGCAGGACCAGCCGGAGAAATCGTAAGTTTGTTGTCGCATCGAATTCGGATCGGTGTGTACGCGTGTATTTGCATTGAGCAGGGTGCTGATATCTTCAACGGCTGGGACGAGTACACTGCGAAAGTAGCTTGTCTGGGTATAACCATGGGCCAATGGATCTCTATCGCTTCTTCAAACTCCTCATCTTGCCCTGACGCCCTCCCCTGTGCGCTCATCGAAGTTGTCTCAGGGGTTGTAGCGGACATGGCTCTTGCGATATGTCTACCTCGTTCTCAAGGAATACTGCGGAGATATGACTGCTTTGAGAATGTCTCTGAAAGGCGTAATAAGCCTGAGGGACAAAGGCTGAGGTTAGTGCTAAAACTCCCTCTTGGTATAGAACTCGGACTTATCTAGTATCTACTCGCTGTGAAGTTGATCACGCACAATGGATGTACCACAATTCACAGCGCAAGTGTACGTTGTTCGAATTCAATTGTAGTTTAGACAGCTCTTGACATACAGCTTGTGGATTCTATGCGCTGGAATTACATCCGTTCGAGGCCTCGCGCCTCAAAGTTGCAACGAGCGAAGGCTTCAATGCTAGTCTCTATTCTTGTTCAAAAAAAGGCTTTCACCTACACGATGGGGTCAACAACTTCCCTGATGGTGGCTTGGCAGAAATCTTTCGCGATTCTGTAGGCTTCGGGGTTCAGACTTGTGTGGGCGCTGTACCAAGCTGTGCAATTAAAGCCCGAGTTACATTTCACTCTCTACGCTGCTGCCTGATCACTCCTAAGACCCCAAGCTTTTGATCTACTACTTCTTCGCTGTCAGCCGGCTGAAGTACCTAGGTACCTCAATCTCTCACAGCCCAAGCAACACAAAACATGCTCCGCCAAACTATAACTATCCCGTTAGCTTCCCTTCCCCACTCGCAAACACAGCCTATGGATGCGCTTTATTCTCACACCCGTCCAAGGCCGTCGCGCGCACACGCTTTCGGAACTACAGCGCCGCCAGATTGCTCACCTCCATCTGCCTCATGTACGACTATACTCGGTCTGTCTCAAGATTCGCCTCTCTTGATTCGTACACCGCTTGAGATGCCTGCGGGATCATGGCTTTGGATCACCGCACCCTCGGCGTTGAAGGTAGTCGATACTTTCACCAGGAGCGTCATACAATTAGCCTGCAGCCATGCTGTGTACTTCAGACCTCACCACCCTACCTGGCTCGTACCTTCGCTACCGCTTGACGTTGCTTTCGCCATCGGCTGGGGTAAGCTCCCCACAGAACTAAAAGTCCAAATACTGAGCTACAACTTGTCTTTTCCTGAAACGGTCGACCTGTACGAAAAGAATGTTCTGCCAGCTCTCGACCATCATATCCGCATGTCCCCCGAGATTGCCAGCCTCGCAGAGGAGATATTCTACTGCGATAACACCTTCCGCATGCGGCGCGACCCTCCAAGACCGTCAGGCCGCCCTACATTTCCAATCGCCAACGAGTTGGTCCGGAAGATTATCGTAGACGTTAACATGGGTTCCTTTACCGACTGGGAAAATTTGTCTTGGATGTCCAAGGGGAACGCTGGACTTTCGAACTTACGATACGTCAGCGTCGTGGTCAATTGCCGTGGAGCCAGATGGAGTCCTCTAAACGATGATACCATCGCGCAGCTTCTTAAGTGGGTACATGCCAGCTGTGACGAGTCTATCGAATTCAGATGCAAAGGCGAAGTTACATTCACCGGTAGGCTGTGGCAGAGCGGCAATATTCCCTCGATTACCGACGGCATTCAGAAGGTGGAGGCACTCGTGAGGAGTAAGGTGGCGTTTGAAGACGATTCCAAGGACGAGGTTTGAGCAGATCTAAGAGGCATACATATGGAAGGTATGGAATCCGGGCGGAGCAATGCAGTTGCATCAAGTGTGGGGGCGACAGTTGTGTGGCGAAAGCGAAGAAGATACTAGATCTCGTAGAACACACCCAACCTTCAAATCCTTGAGAGAGATGAAATGTCGAGCGTGAATTGTATTGCAGTCAACCATTACCGCCGAAGCGCATAATCGGCATCATGGTAGCTCACTAGCATCTCAGCCAGATAATGAGCGGAGTAGGGTGTCTGTCTTTACAAAAGACTATATACAAGCTGTGTGTCATCCACGTCCATCGTATCATCTATCATCAACCATACGCCATAACGCCAGACAAGCGCCAGACCCATGGGTAAAGATACTGCAGATACCGCGGAAGAGTATGGTGTGAGTTGAGCAAAATGGTAGATGTCGGCATAGCCCAATCATCTCTTGGTAAAAATAAAGCGGTGAAAGTAAACAAAAAGTCCAAAATATGATCCACATCAGCACTTGACGGATCGTCCCAATTGCATACCAGAACCATGCAGATCGAGAACCTGGGGGGCATGCCAACGTAATCCAATCAGACCCAAAACCATTTCCAGCCCTTGTTGCGTGTGAATAAATGCGCAGCCATAATCTAATGTTGAATGTGGGGGGTATGTGACGTGTAACAGTCGTGTCTCGTACGGCTTTGTGCGTTTTCGCAACGTTCGCCAGCTCTATACAGCGCGATGCTGTAGAGGGAAAGGGTCTACATGGAGCCCATAGCAATGAGTGCCTCGATGGCGTCGCGCTCAGCGCCAGAGCCGGCTACACCAGCTGGTGCATTAAAAACGGAAGAAGTCAAAGGAGAGCCCGCGTTCACGACGTGATTACCGTGGGATGCATGTGGAACAGTAAGGAAAGGTTTGTACGTGGGCGTCGCAGTGCGTGCGTTGTGAGGCTGAGGCTGTGGCAGAGAGTGGGCCTGGGCGGATATGCTCCGGTAGCGCGGGTTGCTCGTCTGAGTTCGGCTTAGATAGTTGTAATCGCGGTGTTCTCGGCGCGGACCGCGGCGGGTCTCGCGAAGAGCTTCAGGCCCCATCGTCGCCCAGTCTTCTTGATCCGTGTCGTCGTTAAGTTCTTCCTCCAAATCCATGTCGGAAGCCGAGTCGGATTCGGTGCTGCCCTCAGAGTCGTCCAGCGACATCTGGTCAGCCATTTCTTCGTCCTCGCCCTGGCGGTGGGGCGACCACGAGCCAGCATTCCAGCTGCCCGAGTAGACGTCGCGCTCTTGTCGCAACTTGGGTATTTGGAGGCTGCCCCCGATGCTATCGACACTCGCCGGCGTTGCGCGCCCGTTTCCAGAGCGCTTACCACCGATGGGCATTCCTGCCGCCTGGGAGCCGGAGCCAGCTACACTCCAACGCCCCCAGCCAACCTTCTCGAACTTGACCTCTCCGTGCAGACCGCCGCCGGCGCGATGTTCCAGCGCCGCAACGACTAGCCTACGTGCCTTCGCAGGGGGCAGCCCAGAGAAGCCAGGCACCGCATGTGTCAGATGCGCCATCATCTCGCGGATGGGCATTGCGCCGTGGCCTTCGATGATGTCTGGCAGGTGGTGCTTGGCCAGCATCAGCGCCGTAATCTGGCGCGTCGCATCCAGACCCGCCAGCGCCTCCTTGGAGAGCGCAGAAGGCTGGTCCTGCGCGGCCGCATGTTCCACCGCATCCTGAAGATCTATCTCCATAGACTCCTCTTCTGGTGTGTGCAGGCGCCCGACGACGGGCATGGGGCGTCGCTTGTGCGCAGGGAGCGTCGGAGAGATGGAGCTCGGGGGCGTAGGGAGGGTGCCGGTCGAAGCAGCATGGCCGCTGTCCTGGCGTCCAAAGGCCATAGCGATGTTGGACATCGGCTTCTGGGCGGAAGCAGCCATGTTTACTGTTGGGAGGCAGGGGCTGACGGGTGAGTCAAAGCGCGAGTTGGTCGGTAGTCGCGCTGGATGGAAAGGAGGTCTGGAGAGCGGAAGAGTCAGCAACCAGAATCTCTGATATGGTAGGGTTCAGAAGGTGAGTTTGCAGGGCGATGCAACTCGTCTTGCGGCAAACGCACCAGGAGCTTCGGCTTGCACTGTCGGGTATCGACGGTACGGTGTTCGGGCTGCAGCAGGAGTTTGGGTGTAAAATTGAAGACAAAGGTCGAACTGCTTTGTGCGACAAGCGAAATGCAGTTATGGGGCGGATATGCGTTGGCGTTGGGTTGTTATAGCAAGCTGCAGCAACGTAGCTTGTGCCTTCACCGTTCCGAGAGGTTTAGCGATCGGCGATGGATCAGCGAGTCGGTAACGGGAGGATGCAGGTAGCGTGTCGGGGCAGCAGAGGCGAACGGTAATAGAGGCAGAGACGGGCAAACAGCGTACAAACGAGCTATCAGAAGAGGTTCAATATTCGGGTGTGGGCTATGTTATGAGTCTACGTACGAGCAAGGCAGGGTCGCTATGATAAGGGCTCCTTGGTTCCGAAGGCAGCTGGTTCCAAGGAAGGCACGCGCATCTGACGGGAAGCTACGACTCGTGCCCCTGTCAGCCATGTGATTGGCTCGGAAGCAGCTGACTGAGTCCTTGACAGCCACACACCTCGCACAAGCGTCATGAAACCTCGCCCCTCGCAGCAGCAGGGACTCGAAGCTTAGAAGAAGCAGGGCAACGCTAGAGTAGTACAAAGTGTATCGTGTCTTTGCGATGCGGTGAAGCCGTGTAGTTTGTCTGAAATGCTGCCAAATGCTGCGAGAACGATGTCGCGATGTTCGCAGCTGCTGCATTCAGCCATCTCGATCGTGGCTTCCGTTCGCAGCCGATGCCCCATATCGCCATGCTGTGTGTATCGGCTTCTTACGTTGGCCATCCGTCTCTCCATGCCTCGCTCCCACACCGGCGATTGGAGCTATCATTATCGCGCTGCGGGGTCCATCCCACCATCCAAAGGTCCGATTTCGCCATGCGCCTACTAATGAGAGGCTCAGGCACATGGTGAGGGGGCCTGCTGTCGCGGCCAGCAACCACCGTCTGACACACGTGTTTGCCCGACAGGCCTCACTGCAAGACATCCCGTCGCAGAAGATCGCCAAACTCTACAGAGAGCTTGCGCAACCCATCGGAGCTTTTTGCCGTCAACCGAGGGACGTGAGCGTTACGACCAGACAACGTGATAATGCCTCAACCATGATTTGCGTTGACAACATACTTCGTGATAGCCTAGTGGGTGGGGATTCCGTTAGCGATGCGACTACACACACAAAAGTTCGAGTCAAAATCGACGTACCGATTTGAGGACGTTGATCTGCTGCACCGTGCGAGTGAAAACGGCCCGGTACTGCTCGAGGTTCTGATGCACCACTTCGTTGCGCGTAGTGCGGCCTTCGCAGATGGCCTTCATCTGGACCTCCATCTACCCAATGTGTTAGCGAGCATGCCGGGTCATCAAAGCCCAACATCCCACTTACTTCTTTCCGGAGGAATGGTTTGCTGAGGCTTGTCTCAAACCCCACGTTGTCGTATCCTTCGATAAGCGCGATACCCAGCGTCGTTGGGATGAACTCTTGTATTCCGCCCGTTCCTCCTCCGTTGTTCTGGCCTACGGCTGCGCCGCCTCGCCCACCACGTCCTCCTCGTGCCCCTCCTCTGCCTCTGCCGCGGCCTCTACCTGCACCTGCGCCATCTGCGGCTGCTGCTGCGCCGCCCGCTTTGAGTCTTGCAATGACGTATTCGCGCTCCTTGATCTTAGCGATATGCTCGGCCATGGTTGCATCCGTGCCAATACCGTTTGCATCCATGAGGGCGATGAGTTCGGGCTCGGTGAGGTAGCTAGGTGCCGACGTTTGTCCGTCCAGCATATTCGCTTCTGTAGGCTCGAAAGTCTCACCTACCGTGTACTGGGGGAGCACTTGACTGCTCTCCCACTTGTCGTATGGATAGACCTCGAGATAGTTCCTGGCAATCACGGTAAGGCCATGTGCATGAAATATCTCGCCTCCATACTCGATCTCGATGTCTGTGGCTTCGCCGACAGCGTCTTCAGAACAACAGGCGAGAAAGCGGCGGACAACAAATTCATAGACGGTGCGCTCTCTGTCGTTGAGTTGATTGGAAGCGACGTAGTTAACGGGATGGATGGGCGGATGTGCTTTGTCGTTGTTGCGGCCCTCGCGAGGTTGATGAAAGCCACCGTTCATGAGGTTCTGTGCGAACGGACCCCAGCGACCGTCTTGTGTTTGCCTTCCGACAAGCGCTCGCAGGTCCATACCACGATCAAATTGGTCAGTCTCAGTACGCGGGTAACTGATCCATCCTTTCGTATACAAGTCTTCGGCCACTTTCATGACGTCTTGCGAGGTCATGCGAAGAAATCTACTTCCATTCTTTTGTAGTTCGACTGTCGTCAGAGGTAATGGTTTCCACTTCTTTGTGGGTTTCTTAGCCATCTTGATCACCTTCGCTGTCTTTGAGAGCAGACATCTCTCGAAGATGAGGACGACCGCCATACGATCGAAAAGATGACCTCGTCGCCAATTAAACTTGACTTCAATGTCGTCTTTCTTGTGTGCGAGCTTGATGTACCAAAATGGCTCAGGAACAAAATTTCGCACTCGCAGATAGCGATCGACAACGAATCCTAACGTTGGAAATTGACAAGAGCCGTAGCTGATCAACTTGAATCGCTCTTCGCCCTGCTGAGGAATCATATTTTGTAGCGCCAGTGTCTGCATGCGTGTGAAGGCTGCACCGAGCCGCAGATCTAGCTCAATACGAGCCGAAACAGCTTGAGCCTGCTTCTCGTCTAGGCGGATCGGGTTCTGTGAGGCTTGTATAACGTGCCTGGGTCACGTTAGTTGATGCTCATGAAGATCTTGCAGTGTCACAGACGCTCTCTCGATGTTGCTAAAACGCGCTCTCCAAACCTGCATGTTTGGGTTCGCCTTCAGCGCAATATCACGAATCTCAGTGCCGATATGCTCGCCTTCGCGATCACAATCAGTCCAGATGAACAAGATGTTCGCCCACTTGGCTTGCGCTTCGATATTGCTCGCTACAACCTTTTTGTCCTGTATGTGGATTAGCCAGCTTCGTCAGAATGAACCAAATCACCCACTTCTGCTATGCTCGACACTATGGGTGCCTCGAACAGTGCTGCGGGTTGACATGAGTGCCATTTCTTGAATCGATCGTTGAAGTCCTGCGCAACGATATGTCCGGCAACGCATGTGAACGTTACAGAGCATTGTCCCCAGTTTTGGAAGCGAAAATCAAACTTGTAATTCTTGACCCACTGGATACCGCGGACACTTTCCTATCTGAAGTCAGCATGCGTCCGATCTGCACGTCAGGCCATGAAGGCGCCCCTATCCTTGCACCGGATACTAAGACATGAGCTGAACGCATCTGGCATCCTCTCCGGCTATCGGAATATCAATCAAACACAAGTGTGAACTTTCAAGGTATATGTTGAAGGTCAATGCGACATGCTGAACTTACTGCTCGGGCTTGGCCGCCCAGATGATTTGCGACTGCTTTTGCGATCGAAGGCTTTTCCGCCACGCACAGTACCCGAGTCATACCTCTGGAGTGCCGTTGAAACCGCGAAAGAGGCTCAACGTGGGTCTGGAGATGATGGTGGGGAAAGATCCTCACGGTCATGTGAAGACGCGTCAGATCAGCCTTGGCGCGTGCTAGCGCGTTTATCAGCCGCACGGACGCTATCGCAGCTCGCTAAGCCGGGGCCGCCAGGGAAAACAGGTCTTCATGAGGTCATTGTCCGCTTCACACAACAAACGCTAACGCCAGTTTGCGAGGGGCGCATCGCAACATCCCCATCTTCACCAACCCTCATCATAACCATGCCTGACCCACGTACGTACACCGACATGGCGCTGCCACTCGTCAAGACGCTGCCCGACTGCGTCGACTACTTCAAGACCGTCGAGCCATTCCTGCCGCAATTCTACGACCTCCCGTACAAGGTTGCAGCGCATATCACCGATGTGCAGGCATTGAAAGACCTCTATGTCAACACCAACCCACTCATGTCATCGCTGGCATTTGCCACGATGTTCGTCACGCCGATCGTGCTTGCCGTCTCCGAGATCAACCGGAACTACTCGCAGGTTGACAGGATCTGGAGTATATTGCCTGCCCTCTACAACGTGCATTACGCACTATGGGCTCATCTCAACGGCCTGCCCACCATGAAGCTGGACCATATCATGGCTGTCTCAATCATCTGGGGTGCTCGTTTGACTTTCAACTATTGGCGGAAGGGCGGATATCAGGTCGGCAGCGAAGACTACCGATGGGAAATTGTCAAGGACTACGTCGGCGGACCCGGCATGTTCATTTTCAATGTCACATTCATCTCGCTAGGGCAGAATGTAAGTATACTCCTACTATTTACTATCAGTGTATGAGATACTGATCATGGTAGATTCTTCTTTGGCTCATCACCACGCCCACGTATATCCTCCTCCTCGTCAACCGCATCAAGGGCAACGACATCACAACCTACGATACCCTATTCGGCCGCTCCATGCTCGCTATCGTCGTGTTCGAGTTCTTTGCCGACCAAGCGCAATGGAACTTTTACAAAGCGAGGAACGCATACCAGAAGACTGCCAAGGTGCCATCCGACCAGAAATACACCCGTGAACAGTTAGACCGTGGCTTCAACACAACTGGTCTTTTCAGCTGGTCGCGCCACCCCAACTTCGCAGCCGAACAATCCTTCTGGGTATGCTTGTACCAATGGTGCTGCTTGGAGACCGAGACCTACGTCAACTGGGCGTTCGCCGGTGCATTCGGATACCTCATCTTGTTCCAGGCTAGCACTTGGTTAACTGAGCTGCTCAGCGCGGGCAAGTACCCTGAATACAAGGTCTACCAGGAGCGGGTCGGGAAGTTCCTTCCGAAGTTCGGCACCAAGAGCATGGACTTGCCGCAGACGGAGAAGGAGAAGCAGAAGGTCAAGGACGCGAAGGCTGGCAAGGGCTCCATGAAGACTAAATAAGTACACATAGGACGGCTATGCCACCAGCACGAGACCTATGGGTGAAGAGGCCACATAGTCGAAGAGGGATGATGTGTGGTCAGCCAGATGAGTGGTAAAGATGAGCGGACGGGTGCTCAAGGTATGATGAGGATCTCAACACCATCTACGTGACTATATTGACCCAAGCATATAATCTACAAGAAAGTAATCGACCACCCTGCTGGGTTACGTCAAAGAAGTTGCATTAACATCATTACTCTCATATCCTTCCATCATGAACTCTTTGGCTTCTTCGTTGCCTCTTTCTACAATCTACCAGTCTCTCCCTCAACTCGTAACCATGCCCTGCTCCTACGATACCGTCAACCGTTGTGGCTCCTATCAGATGCAACGACAGTCTCTTCAGCCATGCGACTTGGTCTCCTCGACCGCGAACCTGATTTTGCCAGTGAACATCTCCTTCACATCCTCGAACGAAACCTCTGATGACACATTCTTAGCGTGCTGAGGAGCAAGGAACTTCATATCGCCAGCGCAGTGAAAACTGACTCCATCGCCGACGATCTGGGCGATAAAGTTGGTCCATGCTCTCGCATTGTACAACATGCCCCGCATGTCAAGCTCGACAACGACGTTACGAAGCGCAGCGAAACCACAGTCACCGTTCGCAAGCTTAGCGAGCTTGCGCCACTCATGCCTCATCGGAGATATCCGCACAACGAGCCGCCGAATGAGATGGTGGAATGCTCGTGGGGGATAGGCGAAGTAGAGGCGCTTATCTAACCTTCTGTTTCCGATAACGACAGACTGATTTGATGGCTCTAGATAGAACTCGTTCTTGGTCCAGAAGATTTCTCGCGCCATCGCGGCGATCTCGCGTGTCATTGTCAGGTGGGGAAGCAGCTGACAAGAGACTATTGGGGGGTAGCCACACTTGTTGCCTGCGCCGACGCGATTCTCGGCTTTCGAATTGAACTCGAGTGTCAGGATCTTCAACTCAACCGGCAATTTGTTCCATCCCTCTTCGAATGCGGACTTGAGCGGCGCTGACGACGCGATGATGAGCGGCCTGAAGGACGTGATCTTGGTGATGGACTGGCCAGCGTCGACGTCAACACTGTTGCCCTTTATGAGAGTGACCCGATATGGTGAGTCGCTTTTGATGTAGATGGATACAGGTGGTTGGAGTTGGAGTGGTGTCGTTAATTGGATGACATCTTCGTACATGTCCACGTCTGGGACCTTGCTGAGCATTTTGATCGTCAAGGAGGAATGTCGGGCGGCCATCATCGCCGTGGCTGCGAATGCCAGGAGCCGTGTAGATGGCAGTGTGTCTTGTAAGCGCTTGCGCGCTGGCAGGGAGGTCAAATGTGAAAGTGGGATGTAGGAAAAATTGCAAACGGGGGCGGCGTCAGTGCGGAGGTGAGACAAACGCTGTAAAAGTACTAGCGTACAGCAAATGTAGAGTTTAGTCAACGCCTGGAGTGAAAGAAATAGTCTTGTCTTGCTTCTATTCATCAAAGCCTCCAGGCCATCTCTCAACGTATGTCTATGTCGATAGTGCAGTTACGTCGCGACAACTACTGCATCTTTAATCTTAACCATCAACGGTGTCTTTTCCCATAACGAGTATATCTTCTGATCCGCGATCCAATCCCGACATTCGGGGAGCAATTCGAGATTGAAGTTGAAGAGTACTTTGCTCATAATGAGGCGCATCTCGTGGAGGGCCATGCTAGCAGCAACAAATTAGCGTCTCTGCGATGTTCCAGAGACTAAGAGGTAGCGTTACTTACTTCTTGCCTAGGCAGTCCCTTGGTCCTACGTGGAACGGCTGGAGAGCTGAGCGTTCATCGGAGGCGAACCGTGGGTCGCCGAGCCAGCGCTCGGGGATGAAACGTTCGGGAAGTCTGAAGTTGTCGGAGGAGCTGTACATTGCCAAATGAGAGGCTGCGACATTCGTCTTCAAGAAGTCAGTGATAGAGTCATATTTAAGAAGGTGTGAGTGAGTGTCAACGTACGTTTGGAGGAATGTAGTATCCACAGATAGTCGAACCTTCAGCAGGAGTGAGATGTGGCAAACCGATCGGTACAGGAGGATAGTGCCTGAACGCTTCCTTCATGCATGCATTGAGGTAGGGTAAGCCAGCGGTGACTTCCATACTCATGTCGTCTGATGAGTTAAATGTCGTCCGAATCTCCTCTACAAGCTTCGCCATCGACTCGGAGTGCACCAGAAGTAAGTAGGTCAGCCCACTGAGCAACGTCGCCGTCGTTTCCGTTCCAGCTAACATGAATAACTCGCCGTTCATATCCATGACAGGGCGAGTCAGGCCAGCTTTACCCTTGTCTTCTTGTTGGAGAACCAGGTCCCACAGATCGACACCCTCGGATACTCGTCCCTTTTCAAGTCGCTTAGTGACCCTTTCGACAGTGTAGTTGTGATGCTCCCTCTAACAGTGTATTATACTTACAATTTCTCTTATTTATAAGAGTATCTTTTTATTAAGATTATTAATATTATAAAAGTTATAAGTAGCTTATTTTACTTTATATTATTATAGTACTATAAAATAAAGTAAATAGTAACTATAAAATAGAATTACTATATATTTTTATTAGTAAACTAATAATTCTATAGTATAAGCTAGTCTAAAAAGAGTAAAGTTTATTACTAGTATATAAAAAGACGTATTTTTAAAAAAGTTAAAATTCTATAAAGGTATAGGCTTTAGGTAAGCTAAGACTTAAGTTCTTAGTACTACTACTTTTAGTATAGTTAAAGCTTTTAAAATTTAAAGTAGTAAAATAACTATTTTATAAATACTAATATCTACTTATACTATAGTAAAAAGAATTATAATATAATTATATATTCTTAATAGCTTATAACTAACTAAGCTATAAATTATAAAGTAATAAAATACTAAAATCTTAGCTTATAAAATTCTTATTCTTATTTTTATTTTATAGCTTATAGTAAATTAGAGATCTAAAAACTTATTAAAAATATAAATAGTAGCTTAAATCTAATACTAAAGCTATACTAACTAAATAAGCTTTTAACTATATTACTACTCTTTTATAAGTTCTTTTAGTATTAGTAAGTTTACTTAAAGTTAATTTTATTACTAGTTATATTATTTTACTTACTAAAGCTTAATTAAGCTTTATTATTATTACTATATTAATTACTTTTCTTTTAAATATATTACTATCTACTTTTATAAGTTTTTTTAAAGTTATTATTTTAGAAGCTATTATAAAGGCTACTATAAACTACTTTATTTTAGCTATACTAAAAGCTATTATAAGTACTTTATAGCGCTACTTTACTAGTATAAAGCTATATACTAAGCTTATTAAAATTTTTATTATCTTTATTTTTATTATTTTTATTATCTTTATTATATATATAACTAGTATAAAGCCTTTTATTATTTTCTTTCTTAGTCTTACTTTCTAAAAGCTTATTAGTAAGATATATAAGCTCTTTATTAAGTATAATATTAATTTCTTACTTATAATAAAATAGTAATACTACTTTTTTATAAGATATACTAGTACTAACTTTATTACTTACACTATTCTTCTTTATAACTTAGTATACGTAGTAAAGCTTATAGTAATACTATTAAATTACTATATATAAATATAAGTTAAAAAAAAAATATAAAATATAACTATAGTAAGTATTACTTTTTAAAAATATAATATATTTATAACTATAGCTACTAATATAATTACTATCTTTTATATAAATACTTAGCTTATTTTTAATAGTAAATTACTACTACTTAGTATTTTTTTATAACTTTTAACTTTTTTAGAGTTTACTATTATAATAAAAAAAGTAGTAAAATTATAAGCTACTTATTACTAACTTATTATTATCTTTAAAAGTAGTACTTCTTCTAGGGCCTAGCTGCGCGCTAAATAGTTGCGTAATACTGCTCCCTCTAAAATGTCGCAATCTTTCTACCTAACAATGTAAACAGCATAAACTTGGCGAGCGGGTAGTAGAAGAAGATGCTTATAAGCGTACCGCGCTTGATGCCTTTGAAGATAACTTGAATCCAGGTGTTGTACTCTGCGTTATCCAGCAGGTGTAGAGATTCGCCAAATGTTAGGTCGGCCATGACGTCGAAAGTGGTGAAGTTGTCTAGAGATAGTTGCACGAATTCAGTGTTTGTTTAATATGCGTTCGTACATAGACCTAACGTACACATTCGGACGAGATCGACCGAGTTCGCCTGGACACCTTCTCTCAAGTTGCGGATAAGTTGATCAGCGTACTTGATAAATAATGGTGACTGTTGTACGAGCGCTCGGTCAGAGAACGCGGGAGAGAAGATTCTGCGGATTCGTGCATGCTCGGCATTGTCTTGTTCTGCGACAAGTGACTTGGCTCCATTAGGAGAACTTCCCCGGCGATTCCAATTTTTGGGCGGCGCCGAGCCTGGGCCTTCCTTTGACCCATAGCCGTAGATGTCGCGCCAGGCTTTTGGATTGGTGAAGCTGAGTTCATCAGGCGAGAGGCGCACTACTTCTCCATATTGCTCGTGGAGTCGGGCAACGTGTCGTGGTAGTTCACCCTTCGCTATGGCAGTGAGGTACGGTAGGCGCGTAAAGGCAGAGAACTTTGGCCCAGGGAAATGGCTAAGCGGATGGAAGTAGACTCGGTAGATGCCTCTAGCTACCCATCGTACAACAATCTGCCAACGTTAGTACACCCGGGTATCCGAAAACAAATTAGTGCGAACAAACAAATGCGACGACTGGAAAAACGAGGTTCGCTACAGAGAGTTGCCCAAAGAAGACGGAGAGCCTAGGAAGCGCGCTTGGTTTCGTGAGGACAGCCATCATGAGAAGTAGCGGTTGAAGGTTGGGGGCCGCGGAACATGTCAGGGCGACGACTGCCTTGCATTTGTGTCCCCCTCGTATCTTTTTCGATGTCTATGGAAACAGCCTGCAATGCATCAACCCATACTTCAGGGACGTACCGAAGCCAACTTACCCCATTGCCTTGATCTGTCACAGGGGCCATGCCGCTCGCTACTCACAGATTAAGGTTTTCTCCACGACGCGACCTTTATCCGGACTGTGCCACGCGGATGTGCCGGGCCGTTATAGTGGAATGCATCGTATAAAGCGTAACCAATGCTCGTGCACTCAGCGGGTAGCGAGCCAACAAAGATAACATGCATAGAGATAGGAATGTGGGGTAGTTAGCAGGGAAGAAGTTTGGCTAATACGAATCGATAGGACTACACAGCTCCCTTTGTCGCGTTACCACCTCCAATAGTGCTCACGTCGGGCGCGCCTACGAGAGCCAGATTCTCAATTCCAGCAACGCCGTACAGCGCTGCGGCATTCGTACTGACCCATGTGGCTTCATCGACAGCAGTAAGTGCGTCACTTCCATTAACTCTCACCCTTGCCCATGGAGCACCTGGTGCAAGCCCGTCTTTGCTACCATCGCCCAGGAATTCTGACCAAACTCTTGGAACGAGGGTCGCGTTGTTGCGATGATTGGCGACATATGCGGTGAAGCGCGAGTGGCCTTGCATCAGACTTAAAGTGCCAAAGTCCTTGCCATAACGAGCCTTCTGTTCAGCCTTCCCGGCGCCGTAATAGTAACAATAGTCCAAGAATGCATCGAAGAAAGGTTGAGTGAGGTTCTTCTGCTCCACACCGAAGTGGTCCATAAGCTGATCAATAGTCTCAAGGACGCCGAAGACACCAGACAGATGCGAAACCGTGACGTTGCCGGTGTTATTCGGGTCTGTGGGTGGTGGTGCCCATGCACCAGTGAGACTGTTGTAGAAAGCTTCGCCAGTGGCGAATCCGTTCTTGAGCTTCGGATATGTCATGATGGACTCGATGAGCTTTTCGCGAGATTCTTCCCAGCGAGGTCCGCGACGCTCCCATTCGATAAGATACGCTTGAGCAATACCAGCCCAGTCGGTGCCAAAGTTGAGGAATAGCGCTTCGGGATCAGGGTTGTAGACAATGCCCGGTTCTCGCACCTTGCGTCTCGCATCTACGCGAAGGAAGGCTTTATCAGCATCCATGACCTCACTTACCAAGTCGCCAGTCCGCTCGTCGCCGCCGGAGATGTAGTAAAATGTCTTACGATAGACTGGGGTTGAGATTCTAGCCTGTTTGGCACTGTCACTCCAGTGTTGGACGCCATGTCTCGTCCCGAGCCCAGTAAAGTTGCCCAGATGATACGAGTCGACCTCGCCTCCGTGGCGCACTTGATCGTGAGCAATTTTGTAAGCATCCGCACGACCGGTGCGGAGAAAAAAGTCCCAGAAGAAGAGATCAGGCGACAGCTCCGAATTATCCCAAGCATAGCCACCGACGTCATATCTCCACTGGTGACGATCGTTATCGTAGGTGTGCATGATGTCTCCATGATCCCAGAATCCGTACCAACGGCGCTGTTCGATTTGGTCTTCGTAGTACTTGATTAGGAAGTCCATGTTGTTCTCGATAGTTTGTGCTTGCGCAGAGTCCACAGCACCAGGCACGTCCCAGTAAGACCCAATCGCTTTGGTGTCGCGCATGTACTCTGGCTCAGGAATGAGAACGGGTGGGTTGTTGGTGAAGTTGGTGAGCGTTGCAAGGTGTTCGGCGGATGGAGTCTTGTCAAACGCGTAGATGTAAAGCTCGTTTGTGCGGCCAAGGCCGTAGGGAGTGTCGTATCCTCCTTCCCAGTCTTCGTATGTGATATCCAGAGCGTCTAGTTGCTGTTTGTAGGTGTCTTGTCCAAGTCCGTCGTGGTATGGGCGGATATCCATGGGCCCTGCTTGAGGGCTGTACAGCCACATGGTGATTGACCCAGTATCAGTTGCAGCATTAGAGATATCTAAACTGGTAGGATACTTCTTCCAGAAATCTCGAAGGCCCACGGCAAGGCCGCCAACCGTAGCGCCGCCGAGATATGCTAGGCCACCTGAGCGTGTGCCTCCAGGGATCTTGACCCAGCTTTGGCCAGCCTTCGTGCGCTTCTTGAGATTGAAACCGTCCGGGGAAAGTTGTGTTAGGCGATAGTCGCTCCACGTTGGGATCCACTGTAGACGAGTGGTCACCCTCTGATCCCATGTAGAGTTCGGTGGCAAGACCGTGCCGTTGAACTGACCGGATCGAATGTCGACACCGGGGTCTCGACGTAGACCGGTAATGCCCTTGACGGCTTCATGCAGCATTCCGCCATCGACACCCGCGATCCGGACATGACGATCGTAGAACTCCTCTTCAGCTAGGGGAACATCGAAGCGGATGCCGATACCCGACATGAAGTCTTTATGCATATCTCCATCATAGATGATGGTGTGAATGACCCGAATTGCTTCGGAGTTGGCGTAAAGGTAAAACCGAACGGTGAAGGGTATCCAGTCGTCATGAACGCCATATCCATCGATAGTATGGATGCCGTTGACTGTGACTAATGATCGAACGCTGTTCTCCTCCGATACAGTGACGTTCGAGATCTTGCTGGTGAAGCTTAAGTAGTCAATGCCAGTCGGTTTGCCATCTTCGTCGTCATCAGGAGTACCGGTTTGAGAGCGTAGGACCAGGTGGCCGTTGCTTCCGACCGTCTTTCCGCCAGCTTTAATGGTGGAAACCAGAATGTTTCCCGACTTGGGAAAGGTTGCTGAGACTTTGCCGGTATTGACCACGATGGTGTTGTCAGAGTCGGTGACTTGGATGCCATTGGCTTGACGCTTGTATAACGAAGCAGAAGCATTGCCTGCACCAGAAGCCGTGATCGTGTATTCGCTGGCCGGCGCTTCGCTAGCTCCTAGAGCATGCCCGGTCCACTTCAAAGAGCCGTCCGGCCAATAGGCCGTCACCCACGACTGCAGTTCCGCATCTCCGGAGATGGCGAAGGTTGTTTTGTTCGCAACGTGCTGCCCACGAGGCCACGGTAGGCCGAATGTCACACCGGCGAGGTATTCTGGTGTATCTTCGAGCCACTTGACTTTGACAGAGTCGCTTTGGGCCGTGGCATAACCGATAAGGGCAGCAAGCCCAATGAAAGCCTTCAACATCATGAGATGGAGCAAAGAGTGAAAGATGCCGCACCCAGATAGCAGGGTTGACCTTGCTTAACACTCCAAAGGGCGAACATTTTGTACTTGTACAGTACGTTTCGCCCAAGTACCTGCCTACGTCTTGACCGCAACGGGCTGTGGCCAATTCAATATCCGGCTCGCCATGTCGCTTTCGGTAGTACATCCGTGTGCTAGCCTGCACGCAAGCAGGTGTATAAAGAACGTCATGTGGATTGTCCTGAACGAGGTTGGTTCGTGCTTGGCGAGTCTTGTAAGTGATGAGTACGGGTAAAGGCACTGCGGAGGTGGCGTAGATCTACAAGTTTCCGGGAAGGTGTTTACCTCTCCGGAACTAAACCTCGGGGTAGAGACAGCCGAACTGATGTTTTTTTAGGTTACACGTGAGTGAACAGTATAGGTGGGCCGGCAAAAATAAGAGCAATGCCCGCGCACTGCTGGGCAGGGCGAAGGATTGCCACATGTCCCCGGCCTCGGCAAAAAGAAGTCAAAAATAGAAGTCGCCATTCGAGGCGTCCAGCAAAAAAGAATAGAACATACAACAGCGGGGATTCGCTAGTGGTCACCCACCTAACTACTAATCCGCCGGTATCATGCTTGTATATGGCTGAGCGGACGGGAAGCCTAATTTTCATGATCCTATGGTCGTATGTGTAGGAACGAGCGTTTAATGCCAATATAAACCTATTGTTGCGGCTCCCACGATGCGGGGTTGGCAGACGGTGGTACGGAACGAACATCGGGGTCGCGCGCGCCAAATTGGCAGGGGACAGAACACTTCAATCGGTTTGCGCATTAACGATAGAATGCGAAATCAACCAGCTTCCCTGTGCTGACTGAAATTCCACCAGACTAGGCGGGAGTGCTGATGTCATTTACGCTATTAGGATAGCTACTGCTCAAAAGAACACTGACCTCCTCGCCATAATCAGTGCCACCCAAGCCTCGTGTCTTCCCCTTCAACCGCACACAGCTGCGAGCGCTCCGGGCTACCCTTTTTCCATGTTTCTAAACCAAGCTGAGTTGGTGTCCATATCTGATCCATTTCATCCTCCCTCAACACCTCCGAGAGCGGTGATACTCCTTCTTGCTGCCAGTCTTTCAGGCTCGGCAGCTTCAATCTGTCCCAGATCTCCACCAATGCACTCACTAGGTGATCCTGCTGCTTGGACGTATGGGCCGGCGTTGGTGCTATTCTCAACCTTTCCTGTCCTCTGGGTACGCTTGGGGCGTTGATCGGCTGTACGTATATGTTGTACTCGTCAAACAGAATATCTGCAACCTTCTTACAGACTACCGAGTCTCCAATCAACAGAGGTACTATATGGGATTGATTCGGCAAGACCGGGAGATCGTGCTCGCGTAGCGCCGTCTTGACACTACGAGCGTTGCGCTGGAGCTGCTTGCGTGAGTCGTCATGCGAGTAGAGATGTTCGACCGCAGCTCTCGCCCCTGCCATAACGGCTGGTGGTTGTGCTGTTGTGAATATGAAGCTCCGGGCTTGCGAGCGAATCATGTCGACGAGAGATGCGGACCCGGCGACGTAACCACCCATGGTGCCAAATGCTTTACCAAGCGCTCCACTGACCAGGGTAATTCGATCCATAAGCATGCTCTGTCCATGTCCATTTACGCCTTGGTGGATATCGTAATCGAGATGTTCGGCCACGCCCGCCCCATGGGGCCCGTAGAGGCCGACCGCATGGACTTCGTCCAGGAAAGTGATTGCTCCGTATTTCTCGGACAAATCAACAATCTCACGTATGGGAGCAACGGTACCTGATCGGTATTAGAATTTTGAGGATGTGGACGATGGCTCCAGCGCGACCCATTTGCTTACCACACATGGAATATACGGACTCGAACACGACAACCTTCGGCGTTTCCAAAGGTATGGACGCAAGCTTCCTCTCTAGATCTCTAACATCATTGTGTCGCCAGACTAGCTTGGCAGCCCTAGACATCTTGATGCCTTCGATCAAGGATGAGTGATTTGATTCATCGGAAAGAAAGACACAGCCGGGGAGATGTGCACCCAATACTGCCAGTGCGGACTCATTCGCAACGTATCCGGATGTGAAGGATAGGGCTGCTTCTTTTCGATGCAGCTTTGCGAGCGACGTCTCTAAAGCTTCAGCCCATTGGTTGTGCCCGGAGATGTTTCGTGAACCGCCGGAACAAGCGCCGTATTTGTCAAGCACGGCGCGCGTTGCACGTAAAACACTGGGATGACCACCCATCCCAAGCTGTCCATTGCTCTCGTCAATGGGTACTCTTATGTTGTTGGGCTGGTTACTTACATAGTCGTTAGTGCACCAAACGTCCACACGTTGCTCTTCAACGTCGGAGTGTGCAAAGGGAAACTCTTGGGCCAGACGGTTGATGTTGCGAAATTGGCGATATGAGCCATCTCGATGCTTCTGATCAACATTGAATTTGAAGAAGGCTTCATACGGGAAACGCTGGGGCGCTTCCGTTGTAGCCGTCTCGGGCTCGGCCACCGCTACAGCTGCTACTCATGGTTTAGCACCAAGTTCAATGAAATCCCAGAGAAAATAGGGAGACGTTCACGCACCCGACGCAAATGAACGAGCATGCAAAAGCACTCTGGGTTTGACACCCCGCAGTAAGAACTGGTTGTGTCCTATAGGACGAGACCAAGTCGCAATCGATCTCATATCGGCTGGAAAGAGGTACTAAAGACGGAATAATGAAGACGACAAGTGGATCTCTCAATTACGCTCCATTTTAGATACATTATATACTCGTTAAGTTGTGTTGCTTTGACCTCAGCACGCAATTCTGACTTGTCACTCCTCTCACATACGCGGGGTTCAAAATTCACGAACCATAGTCAGGAAACCTCCACATGGTAGACTTCCAGTGGCAGTGTCAGTCTGGATATCATCAGCAATAAGACCACTCTCGTTGATGCCTATGACCGTACGACCTGTGTCAAGAAGGCTTACGTTCAACATCGCGCACAGCATTTGCTACATCCGGATGGCCATGTAAGTTGATGCCTAGCAAAAGAGCGGCCCTGACTCCATTTTAGGAAATTTGTTCGGGCGTTTGCCATCTATGCGTCATTTTCCAGAAACGATCTCTCCCGCTGCGTGACATCAGGCCAGCGAATCGTACCGTGCCTGTGCGCGTAATGGCCGGAGTCGTGTAACCACCCAGCAACACCAAACCTACTACTGCAAAAGTTGGGCCAGAAAGCGACCACCACAATTTTAGTGCTTAGCACGTGACGGAGGTCCTAATGGAGCTTTGCGCTTTCTATTCTGGGTGATATGAGGCGCTCTTTTGTTGGCTTTGGCTTCAACGCGGGCTACTCGAGCTGCTGCTTTTTCCGCTCTAACTATCATTCTTCCTCACTACCTTGGCTGTCTCTCCCACTGAAACGTTACACAAAGGCCTTTGAGGCTCAACGAGAATCAACTCCGTGGGAAGGAGTAGGTATACTAAGGCGCCGCGTGGAGTGGAACATTGGAACGCACGGAAAGTTACCTGTTACATCGTCTCATTCAAACTGCAGGATGACAGCAGATATGCCTGGTCCTCATTCAACCCTGACCCCCCACTTGATTCTGCATGACATCTTCTAAGCTTCGCAAAAAAGTGCAAGATGCGGTCTATGAATGCGGCATTTAATTCAACCATTAACTCTAAACATACTACGCTGTTCAGTTGGCGCGGTGGCGTCAATTCCAAGCCATACGGCGTGGCCGTGACACCCACTCGCCTTCCATTTGTACTCTGGTTTCTAGCACAAGTAGTCAACCTTTGCCCGACGGTATGAGTCGTCAAAGGGTACGACACGCTTTTGACGCGGCTTCATATCAAGCTTCTTCTCTACGTGCGCTTCAATAGATTCTCAAGCGGAGCTGTGGTTCTGCAGACTTTCGCTGCCCTCATATGTCGACCACCAATAAGGACAACGAAATACGTCAGGATGCCGAAAGGCACCCTGATACACATACCCAAGATCTGGGTACTGGACTACGCAACACGTCGGCGAACAACGAAAACGTCCATCCCCAGCAAGAGTGTAATCATGAAATCCGTATGGATGGCGGTGTAGTAGCCTGGCTTCAGGTGTTTGGAAGCTGGATTCTCTTCTGGAACACCTGGTAAGTCTCGACCATATCCTAACCCTCCTTTCTACAACAACTGACCTCAAACACCGCCAGGGGCTTAACAAACTCCTACGGAGTATTCCAAACATATTACGTCAACTTCCTACTCCCAACATACAGCGCTTCAGCGATATCCTGGATAGGATCTATTCAGCTCTTTCTCACCATGGTGGTTGGAATACCCGCTGGGATCATGCTCGATCGCGGACACCTTCGACTTCTTATCGCACTCGGGACGCTTTTCGAAGTAGGAGGCCTCTTTGCGACAGCACAGTGCTCAAAGTATTGGCAGATCTTCCTGGCGCAAGGCGTCTGTGTAGGTCTAGGTAGTGGCTTGCTTGGCTTGACGAGTGTTGCGGTTATTCCGCTGTACTGGAAAAGGAAAAAGATGATTGCAACGGGTATTGCGGCGACAGGAAGTAGTCTTGGTAAGCCGCTGTCGCTAATCCTGCTTCAACGACATATTCTAACTTGGTAAATCCCGGCTCAGCTGGTATACTCTATCCACTAATGATGCGCCGCCTCTTTGTCACAATAGGCTTTCCTTGGGCTGTGCGTGCCCTCGCATTCCTGATCCTCGGATGCATGGCTGTATGCTTCGCGGTTATGCGGCTGAGACCTCGAGCGCCAAGGAAAGGGTCAATATTAAACATTCGAATGCTCAAGGAGAGAAGCTACACGGCATTTGTCCTTGGTTAGTCACCTTCTTTTCCCTCATGTTTCCACTCATGCTTGCAAAATTCTTTCGAGAGCGGAAAGAGCTAACTACACCCAGCATTCACACTCATGATGGCCACCGCATATATCCCCTTCTTCTACATCCAAGACTATGCGCTCAAGCTCTCTCTCGATACCGAGTCTGCCTTCTCCCTCCTCAGTATCATGAACGCTTCCTCCCTTCTTGGTCGTCTAGCGCCTAACTACCTCGCCGACCGCTTCGGTGGCGTGAACATCATGCTGCCCTGCTGTCTTCTCTCATCCTTGGTCATCTTCATCTTCCCACTCGCCGTAGAAAAGTCTAGTCTTATCGCTATTTCGGTCGTTTATGGTTTCATTTCCGGTGGGATGGTCAGTCTTCCTGCGCCCATTATTGCGGCGTTGACGAGCGACGTGGGGGAGCTGGGGGCGCGGATGGGAATGGCCTATTCGATTGCGGCGTTTGGGGGGTTGGTTGGGAGTCCGGTTGCGGGGGCAGCGAAGAGAGATGCACCTGCTGGTATTTCAGGTAGAGCGGTTGAGGATGTCCGGAGGGAGTTTTGGGGCGTTTGGTTTGTGGGCGGTGGAGGGATGTTGTTAGCTACAGGGTTTTTGGTGCTGACGAGGTGGTTGAAAGTGTCGCGGTGGTCGTGGACACTGCGCATATAGGAAGTTTAATGCCGATCTGCTCCTGTCATTGTTCTAGCTATACAACTAAGTCTCTGCTACATCCCCGTACCGCTTGACAATCTTCTCAAACACCTCGTCCAGAGTTGCCTTGCCCACGCTGTAAAACTCCACATTCAGCTCGTCCTTCGCGCCCTCCAATGTCCTAATCAAGCCCGCAAACTCATTACCGTCAGCCGGAATCTCAAACCTGACCTGACCGCCCTGCGTCTCGCGACTAACGTTCGCCAAGGGAAAGGTCACAGCAATCCATTCCTTCATCTTCTGCAGTTCCTGCGTTGTGGTGCAAGGTGCTGAGCGCGACACGAGATGAATGTGATATTCGCTGCCCGCACGCTGCTTCAGGTCTTCGCGGTCGCCAAGAGCGAGCATGCGCGACGAGACAATGCCAATGCGGTCGGCTAGAGCGTCGGCCTCTTCCATCGAGTGCGTCGTGAGTACAACGGCGCGTCGCTTTGCAATGGTTTGCAGGCAGCGCCACATGACGCGCTTTGCATTTGCGTCGAGCGCTGAAGAAGGTTCGTCGAGGACCAGGACACGGGGGTTTCCGACTAGTGCGACAGCCAGAGAAAGTTTGCGCTTCGTACCGCCAGAAAGCTTCTGTGCCAATTGATCAGTCCAGTCACTGAGACCGCAGGCTGCAATCACGGTCGACACGTTATGTTCCACGTCCCTGACTCCTCTTATTTTGGCAAAGAAGCGCAGCGTCTCGCGGACAGTGAGGACGTCGGCAGAGTCAAACTGTGGGCACACACCAAGACTGGAGCGTGCTGCAAGGGGACTAGTCAGGATTGGGTTGCCGGCGATGTCGATTATAGATCCTGGTGTTGAGGGTTTGATGTCGCCACGAATCATCGAGATGATGGTCGATTTGCCAGCACCGTTGGGTCCAAGTAAAGCAAAAATCTCCGATGTCTTGACACCAAACGTGACATCGTCGACTGCGAGGTTCTTGCCAAAAGACCTAGTCACAGACTCAACCCGGAGGTCAATGTCAGGTGATGCCAATCGTCTACGTTCGGTAAGAAGATCAGCCGTGTACATGTCTGTCGCCTCTGTATCGCCGACCAGACTTTCGCGGCGCAATGAAGGCAGAGCGAAGCCACTATCCCACCAAATGAGAAGCGCAAACAAGAGAGCAATTTGCACAACCAAGAACAAGACGGGCCCGCCGTACAGATAGAGGGAGCCGTCGCTGTGGCCGTTGCACTTCAACCCAAGCTGCTGAAGACCGATAAATAGCGTCCTTTCCAAGCTCACTACTGGCGATATGATGGCGAGACCAAAGTACAGGGCGTTCATCGTGGATTCCAGGTTTGCGT